AGAAATCTAAGACAACTGACAGAAATATGTAAAAATCAGCCATGCGAATTTTAAAATATGTTAGAATCTGCTTTTAAAAATGAGCCTTTTTATATTTAGATAGAAATAGCTACCCATGTCCAGGCAATTTTTTTTTTTTCTGGTAATCTGGTTGTATTACATGGTGCTCTTTTTAGAATATCTCCTCAGACTAGGTTTTAGGCCTGAGTTCATTGCCTTCCCCACCTTCAACCTTACTGGCATGCATGTGTATTTCAGCTTCTGACCCAGTTACTTAGGTGATGTTGGTAAGAATTTCAAATATAAGATCCCTTTTAGCCCCCTTCTCCCCCCACCCTTCACCACCACATTGCAAATGAAAAGATCCATTGTCCTGGAGTGTAGCAATGTGTGTCTTCTTTCTGTATGATATAAACTTGGATAAAATGACATATGTCCTTGATACTCTTTCATTAACAAAAGTTTCAGCTACACACTTGCCTGACGTCCCTTTACAGATATCTCTCACCCTATGTCTTTACCATCCAAGTAAAGTGGCCCTCCAGAAGCTATTAATACTGACTCCAAAGTCAGAAACTCTTCTCCATTGCTTTTTTATGAATGGAAACTGACCAAAGAATGGAAAAGTAACATATTTTGAGACTTCTGGCTGCTGAGAGTTTTGCATCCATAGACACAAGGTTCACATCAAATCTGTAAGGTTGATGCTTTTATTTTGTATTTTATTATAGTGTGTAGGGCAGGGGCAGGGTAGTTAAGGAACATACCCAAAGTCACAAAGCTACTAATTGAAAGAGCAATGTACTTTCAACCTTCCTCTACTTCCTTAATTAGTGTACAGTGTAGATAAGGCTACAGACCATAACTAACCTCCATTTCCAAAGGAATTAAGAGGAGAATAACCATTCCTGTGAATCACTAAGTCGTTAAGTGATTTAGCCCAGTGCCTGGCACATGCCAGATGCTCAGTAAAAGTTAGCAAGTGGCCCCAGTATAAGTAGTATGTATTATTGCCCTAGGGGGAATATTAATGATGCCTTATTTCTTCCTTGTGAGATGTGAAGTTACTGACTTAGCACCACTGGGCTTAGCGTGTTGAGGCTTGCCTCTGTTTATTAATGAGATGAGATTACTAATGGTGAGGGAGAGTCCCTGCTGTGTGGTAGCAGTAATTTTCAGTGTTGCTGTGTGGCTGCAGGAACCTATTGCTAGCGAGTGCTGGTTTCTTTCTTCTTTTTCTTTAAAAAAAAAAAATCCGATTACATAATTTAACAATCATTTTGTTCCATAGTGAGATGAAAAGAATTTAGCAGCCTTCATTTGGGACTGAAGGAAGAAGCAAATTACAGAAATCACTGACATTAGTCCTGGCTAGAGTGGGATTGTTTCCTACTGAATATTTGAAAGTATTTTGTTCAGCCTAATTGTGAAAGACTGACTCTCTGGGCTTCCACCTCTTTCCCTGAGCATGGTAATTACATGGACTAATGGCGCCCAGCAGTGGGACATTTTCTCCAGCTGACCAGTGGATGCCTTTGTAGGCTGTCTGGTCACTTTTTTTTTCAACATGGGATTTAGAGAAAGGGCACAAACATGTCTTGCTCACTTCGGAAAATACTTTTCTCATTCTACCCAAGTAGAATCCTGCTGTCATCAAACCATGATTTGCTACATCATGGGATTTTCATTAACTGCATATTATGAAGGATTCCCCCAAAATACATGAAAGCAGACAGAAGAGTGTAATAAATTCTTAGGTGCCCAAAACTAGCACCAGCAGCATTCAGTTGGGCTGATTCCACGTCATCACTTCCCATCTAATTCCTTTTGTCTACTATTAGTTTGAAACAAATCTTCCTCAGAATATTTTTAAAATTCTGGTAGAATAACATAATATCAGATTTATCTAAATGTTAACCATTTTAAAATTTGTCAGTTAGTGGCATTCTGTATATTCACAAATGTTGGACAGTCAACACCAATATTTAGTTCCAGAATTTTTTACCATCCTAAGTGACCACTTAATGGGTACAAAGTTTTCCCATTGCCCCTATCCCTAGAAGGCAGCAATCAGCTTTCTGTTTCTACGGATTTGTCTAGTTTGGGCATTTCATATAAATGGAGCCATACGATATGTGACCTTTTTTGTCTGGCTTCTTTCACTTAGCATAATATTCTCATGATTCATCCATGTTGTATCGTGCACCAATACTTCATTCCTTTCCATGATTAAATAGTATTCCCCTTTATGGATATACCAGATCTTGTTTATCTGTTGATGGGCATTTTGGTTCTTCCACCTTTTGTCTGTTTTGAATACTACTGGTTTGAACATCCTTGTATGGGTTTTAAAACATCTGTTTTCAGTTCTCTGGGTATAAAGTTATAGCAGAGTCCTGTATCAACTCCAAATTTCACTTATGGAGAATTTCAAACTATTTACCATAGTTACTGTACCATTTTACCTTGCTATCAACAAAGTATGGGGGTTCCAATTTCTCTACATTTTAAAAAATTGTTATGATTCTACTAGATGTAAAATGACATCTCATTGTGGGTTTTGCTTGCATTTTCCTAATCATTAGTGATGTTGAGCACTTTTTCAGGTGATTGTTAGCTATTTGTAGATCTTTTTAAAAGAAATGTCTATTCAAGTCCTTTGCCCATTTTTAAACTGGATCGTTTTGTTATGGCATTGTAGGAGTTCTTCATATATTTTGGATTTAGACCCTTATCAGATACATGATTTGTGAAAATTTTTCATATTTTATGGGTTGTTTTTCACTTTCTCAGTATTTCTTTTAACACACAAAAGTATTTCAACATATTTCTCTAAAAACTGAGTACTTCCTTATATAACCACAGAACCATTATCATACTTTAAAAAATACTAACCATATTTCCTTAGGATCATGATATATCTAAATCTATATTAAAAGCTATAATTGTCTCAAAAAAACTAACAGCTGTTTTTTAAAATCAGTGTCCAAATAAGGTGCATCCATTGCAATTTGTTAGTTTATTTTTAAAATGCTCTTACATCCATAGGTTTCGCTTCCATCTCTTTTCTTCCCTCTCAAAGTTTGAAGAAACTATTTGCCTAGACAAGTTTCTTTGTCTCATTTTTGCTGATTTCATTTCAATGATGCAACGTATTGCTGGCTCAGTCCTCTGATTTCCTTAAATTGGTGGGGGGTTGGAGCTAGAGGTTGAGCAGATTTGGGGGTTTTTGTTTGGTTTGTTTTTGGCAAGACTGTCTCATAGGGGATGTGATCTTTTATCAAGAGGCTGATCATATTTATTTCTTACTTTTATATGTTAGCAGCCATTCATGATCACTATCTAAGTTTATTAAGAGGTACAAAATAGTGAGATTCTATCATGTCTTCCTCATTTATTAAATAGAAGACCTACTTTTATAAATAAGCACCTTCCATGTTTTATTATTTAATTATCCGATGTTTAAATTTGTATATGAAAGACAGGATCATCTCTTGATTCTTTCCCTATATTTATCAGTTATAAAAATAATAATTTGGTTCTTTATTTTCTTAATAATAGTGACAGTTTTATTCTTTTGGGGGGTGATTTCATTAATGCATTTATTTAAGCCTATTTAACGTGTATCTAGACCACACTGTTATTATTTTTGTCAATGCTTAAATTGTCCTCTCTTTGGCCACTTGGAGTCTTTTCAAGTTGAGTCCTGAGTCCTTTTTGACATGACTTTGTGGTCTTTGATAGCTTCCTGGCTATTACATATGGAATATGTCCAACTTTATCTAGTTGGAATGTAGTCTATTGTGGTACTTCTGAAATTTCCTCAGAAAATCTTCTTATATGCCTTGAAACTTCTACTGGCTCTTTGGAAAAGATGGGAAGGTTTCATAGGAAACCTAGTCTATATGGAATCATAAGAAGGCAAGTCAGAACAGGCATTGAAAACCCAATCAGGAAACTCATGAGTTTTTATTGAGTTTCTATTAGACATGCAGAGAAAAAGCATAATTTCTGCCTGAAGAGTTTTTACCCTGGTAGGCATTGGTTATGACCAAGTGACACAGTACTGGTATCAGAGATGGACTTTTGACAAAAACAAAGCCATCAGTATGGTTTTCTGACGCCCCTGTTCTAGTTCTGTCTGTATTATCAAGTAGGGATTGATTGCTAATTATTATTAATTCTTTTTATATGATTATAAAAATGCATGTAAGTACCTAACCAAGTGGCTTTTGTTGAAGACTGTATTTGAAGAAGGAGAATGGACGAAATGTATGTGCTTTCCTAAGTCTGGGAAATAGATGTGAGAGCATGGAGATTGCCTTTCTTCTTCTAGCCTCTACTTTGCCATGAAGTATGGGCAAGGTTTATTTTCTGCCTGTTTTATAAAGTTGCTGAGTACCGTGATGACTTTATATTTATAGAGTGCTTGGAGCTTTTTGGATGAAAGGTACTAAATTAGAGTTTATTTTTTATTGAATTTATTTGATGTGTCCAACCTCCTGGGAACATTTGCAGAAGTTAATTAAAAACAGTCCCCACACAGACAGCTTCTAGTGCCACTTACAAACCAATAACATAAACAGTGTGAACTTCCATTGTCCTAGCATGGAACTACCTAGAAAATCATAGTTCTTCTGACAGGGGAATGATGCTACTTTTGTGGGAACCATGAGGTCAACTGCTAAGTAAAAGCACAGAGATATTCTTGATTCTGTCTGACCCACCTACCCTCCCCATTTAAAAAAATACTTAGAATATGGAGGTTTTCCTCTGTTTGTAACTCTTACAGGTTAAAAATTTTCAAAATAATCTTTTCTATCATTTTGGCAAGAAATGAAGATAAAAGTTTTATGTTTTGTACATGGTTTTATGATCACATTTTTCTACAGGAATGGTTGCTCAAAACAACCAACTAGAGTGCATTACTCTTTCTTATCTGACCTAGTGAATTCTGTGAGATGACATTATAATAATGGACTCTTCGGTTCCTTTCCCAGTTGGTGATGGAGTTTTGTGGCGCTGGCTCTGTCACTGACCTGATCAAGAACACAAAAGGCAACACGTTGAAAGAGGAGTGGATTGCATACATCTGCAGAGAGATCCTAAGGGTAGGTGACAAGTAGGAAGTGACCTACCTCCCAGCGTCTCCACACAACACAGGATATCTTTGGAGAGGATACATTTTGTTCTATTCTGTCAAAATTTGTAACCACAGGGGAGACGTCTTTTAAAGAGATAAAGGTTTATTCTAACTGTAATGGGGTGATTGTGCTAGTTTGGCTAATCATATAGGTCTGCTCTGATGGAAATGAGACCATTCTGGATAAACTGTGTGCATTTAGAATTGGAGGATTGAGACTAAATGATTTCCCTTAGCAAAGGATCAGTTTCGAATGATGTTTCCAGTTAGAAATATGATTTTAGATCATAAAGATAATGTCTTATTTAGAAAATTAATTGTGTCAAGAGATATTTTGGTTGGCCATTTGAAGTATCCATTTGTATTATAACTTTGTTCTAATGCCTTCCCACCACACAAAGATTATATGACATTAGTCACTTCTGTACATGCAAGCTAGGTTAAGTGATTTTACCATTTAAAATTTCTGAGACTTAATCACTTAAATTGGTCAAAATACCTGGATAAGATGATGTCTGTTTGCCCAGTTTTGCCCACAAATCTCATGATTAAGCAATAATGATAATAGTATTATATTTACTGAGCTCAGTTCAGGGAGAAGAAGGTAATTGAATACATTTTAATTCACTCAGTTAATTTTCTCTTGGTTCTAATATAGAGGCTATTATGTCTGCTGAGCATTCTTACTACACTTGCCTGATGGTCATTATTTATTTATAAGCTCAGCCTTCGTAATTTAGGGAAAACAGAAGTTACAATTGCTTTTCACTATGTGTCCAGGATATTTCTTTGAGAAATAGATTGTGTGCAATGAATGGATGGGTGGATGAATGAATGTTAAGAAAGAAGGCAGAAAGATATAAAAAAATTATGTCTAGTCAGTAAAGGCAAACAAGATTAAGCAAAAGAAAAATAGAAAATGAAGTTTTTGACTAATATTGACAATAGCACAAAAAGTAAAATGCCTACATATAAGTTTACAGACAGAGGTGAATGATTCTGATCTAATAACTATAAAATATTACTGAAAGATTTAAAGAAGACCACAGTAAATTAAGGTGTCTGCCATTTTGTAGGACATAATACTCAATATTATAAAGATATCATTTCTCTTCAGTTTGATTCATGAGGTTTTTTTTTTTAACACCCAGTCAAAATTCTTGTGTATTTGTGGATAACAACAAACTAATTTTTAGAAATTATATGAAAATATAAAGGGACCAGAGTAATCAAAGCAATCTTAAGAAAGGAGAACAAAGATGGAAGATTTATTGTCCCTGTTATCATAATTTATTATAAAGCTGCTAAATAATTAAGACGATGATTTTTGTCACAAAATTAGGTAGTGACCAATGGAACAGGATCAAGAGTCCCAGAATCAGGAGACCCACATCATAGGGACACCTGACATACGACAAGGCAAATCCTGTTGTGGATGGGAATAGAGTACTCCCATGAGTAAATTGTGCTTGGCCAATCAACTACTCACATGAAAACATGGAATCAACACCTGCTTTATAGCACATTAAAAATTTATTCTGATAAATGTAACTGTGAAAGATAGAAAACTAAAGTTCTTCTGAAAAAACCTCTTTAACTTGAGAATGCAAACAAGGTCTTACACAGAACATAAACCACAGTTTGAGGGGAAGAAGCTGCCTGGCTGCTGACCTCCATCACATCTAACACTTATCTCCAAGTCTTGATGTTGCCTTAACTTAATTTGAATTCTTGACTTAAAATATTTTTCATTCAGAAAAAGAGTGATAGACTGTTTAAAGAAATCCAAGGCAGGGCGGGGCAATTGCTCCGATCTCCAGGCTGGTTCTGTCCACTATACCCATTCACACTCTTGGGTAACCCTATGGGGAATTAGACATTTGATGTCAGAGTTCTAAAGGCAGCAGAGATGTTCAGCTTATACCTTGTTTTAAAATGTGTGAAAGCAACGGTTTTCTTCCTCCTTCCTGATCTTCTGCGAGATCTTCCTTGATCACGTAGTGGGCCCTGTCACAAGAATTTTCAGAGGTGGCCTTCCATGTAGTGTGTGATGTCAGTAAGCACAACCTCTGGCTCCCTTGTGTGCTCTGGTATCTGACTCCAAGCACTTCAGTACTGAAGGGGACAGAGGGATCCTCGGTCTCTTTCTTCGGGATTTATGTGATGTTTATATGTTGTAAAAATCAGGCATTTTTACATGATGAGCCAAACTGACTAGATAAAAAAAGTAATTTTTTTTTTACCCAAATCAGTGCCTCAGACTGTCCTCTTGCATGGTTTATGTTTACCAATATTCCTAAATGAACATAGGGATCTTTTGAACTCCTTTATTCTCATGCTGAATTTCTTCCACAAGAGAATTGATGTGTGTGTGTGTGTGTGTGTGTGTGTGTATCTCATCTTTCAAATCACGATTTTTTTGTTGTGGAGAACAACTAGAAGAACAGAAAATCATAGGTAATAAAATGACAACAATTATGTACACAGCACCTTGAGCTATTAAGTGCTAGCACAAAATATTTTGCCTTAAGACTCTAATTTTAGATCCTTTTAGTTTATAATTTATCTAAAAAAAAGTGTGTGACTACCTTAGGGTAAATCTGTAGCTTATAGAACTTACTCTACCACAAAGAAACCAAAATCAGAGTAATTCATAGAGAGATAGTACACTGTCAGGTGTGGATGTCAATGAGATCTCAGCTAATCAGCCAAAAGTCACAAATACCATAAAGTACCAAAAATGACAGTGACACTTGCCAACTAAGGAAATTGAGATTGTTTCCTTTTGTTTAAAAGTGCAAACCACATTGGTTACAATCAGTGGGAACATTCTTAGCTGGGGTTTGAAAAATATTTCATTGTTCTTAACTAAAATTATATAATAGAAGATAACTTTCAACTTTTAAATTCAAGTATTGGTCCCCCAAAGGGGAAGATTCAGTTAAATCAGGTTTTCTTTGCAGAGCCTATCAAAGTTTCTATTAAAACTAGCAAATACAGGCAATCCTCAGTTGTCACAGTACTCTTGTCAACTGGAACACATGGGAACCAAATCATATCATCATGTGTGTGGCTTGGTGGTACCTGGTACCACCAAGGTCTGATACGCAGTGTTTTATTTAACATAGCACCATGCATTGCCAAAGCTGCGGTTATAGTTCAGCTTACATTCGTCACTTGCCTACAGTCTAGAACAAGTACTAAGACTTGAATGTAATTCTGAAAGCATCTCTGGGTGAGTTTAATCTGGGGGATCATTATCCCCAAAATAGTTTGTTTGCATCTTTGCTTATGCTCCTGTAACTCTCACATCTCCATCACTCCAGGGGCTGAGCCACCTGCACCAGCATAAAGTGATTCATCGAGATATTAAAGGGCAAAATGTCTTGCTGACTGAAAATGCAGAAGTTAAACTAGGTAAGAACAGAGTCCAGAGAGCCTATGAATTGCTGAATTGATAGGATTATGTCAATGGCTCTTTTCAAAAATTGATGTAAGTTTGTCACTGTGGATTTGGAGGGCATTTCCCTAAAAATGGAAAGAAAAATGTTTTCTTTCCCTGCTTTAAAAAACATTTCTCTGGGACTGGAGGTATGGCTCAAGTGCTAGGGTGCCTGCTTTGCAAGTTTGAAGCCCTGAGTTCAAGCCCCAGTCTCACCAAAAAAAAAAAAAAAAAAAATCTCTGAAAACATTTTGAAAAATGAATTGTATATAGTTTGGTGAACAGAACCATGTGCTTAAGCCATGTGTAGAAATGGCTGAGATTTTGTTCAGTAAAGTTGAAAGTGACAGACCTTGAAGTCATCCACTATGTTTGTTTTTATTATTGCTGTCACAGAACACTAATGATCAAGTGTTTTCATTTCATCCACAGTTAGATATATCCAATCAATTCCTGCTATATTCCCTTATGTTTAAGTTGTATTTATAGTGATTTCATTATTACCAAGGGCAGCTGAACAAGATGGATGTTCCATAGCCTACTTTGGGTACATACTGACTACCCCACTTCTGTCTGCCAGACTTATCAGTTGGGGAATCCTTTTCTTTGGTGTACCCATTTGAGCCATCGCCACAGTGAGTCTGGGACTGTCCAGACAATGTAGAGAATCTCCTACTTTTGCCTGCTTGAGTAAAAGCATGAGTTCACAAATATCCTAGAAGATATACAGTTTATCTAGAAAAAGATTATTGTCCATATGACTGTTTATTTTCAAAGAGATTTAAACATTTGCTCTATCCTTTTGTTAAAATGCTGGTTTCCTTTTCTTGGTTAGCATTTGAAGCCAAACTTTCGTCTCATGAATATTCCCTTTAAAAAATAAAACCAACATTGTATAGGCTAAATAGTTACATTGTAGTGTATATTCAGTGGAAGATTAATCCGAATTAAAAAGGAAATTCTGATACTTGATTCAAAACCGGTCAACTTTGAGAATCCATGTGAAATAAGACTATTAATAATAAGAATACTCATTTACATGGGTAGCCAAATTCATAGAAACAGAAAGTAGGAAGATAATAACTTCCAGGGGTTGGTGTAAGGTATGCAGAGCTACTGCTCAGTGGTATGACTGGAGAAGTTGAGAAAGTTCTGGAAAAGGATAGTGGTGATGGTTGTATTATGTTAATGTTTTAATGCCATAGCAGTATCATCAAAATAGTTAAAATGCCAAATTTTATGTAAATTTTATAATATTATAAAACACGCATTTTATCATTATACAAGATTGTAGCTCTTATAGACCAATGTTAGAACAATTGAGTAAGACTTTATTCAATTGTCTTCATTCATTAGTGGACTTTGGAGTCAGTGCCCAGCTTGACCGCACAGTGGGCAGGAGGAACACTTTCATCGGGACCCCTTACTGGATGGCACCGGAAGTCATTGCCTGCGATGAAAACCCTGATGCCACATATGATTTCAAGGTAGGACCTCTTCCTTATGCTTTAAAACTAGACCTCACATCGCATCCTGAGTGTCGCAGTGGGGCAATCCTCACGTGATTTTGAATTTGTGGTTTATGTGACCCAAAGGGAGAAGTGAAAAACATTATTTGAACTTAAAATTGTAAGACATTCAAGTGAGAATCATTTTAATGAATGCATTTGTGATATCTGATTGTCTAGTTACTTAAATAAATGATGTTTAAATCATTTTCTATATTCTTTTGAATTTATTCTTGCTTCTTATTCTTAGAAAATAAATAAGATTTAGATTTTTGGCAGCATTATATTCTTCTTTTCTCTTGTTTATGCATTAGCTCTTTTTTAATTTACTTTTTAGCTGATACATAAAAACATGGAAATTAATTGTGCATATGGGTGCCATGCAATGTTTCAACACATGTATGTGCTGTGTAATGTTCAAGTCAGGTTTGAAGCATATTTATTTTTCAAATATTTATTATTTCTTTAAGATGAAAATCCTTTCTTCTAGCTTTTTCAAATGTACAGCATGTTATTATCTATACTCATTCTACTCTGCAATAACACACCCAACATCTTGCTCCTATCTAACGGTAACTTAGTGCTCAGTGATCAGTCTTCACTCATTCCTCTTTCTCCCAGAGAATATATTCTGATAGCTGGTTAAGTTAAAAGAAACCAAGATATGAATTTGTTGTCTTGGATCATCTTTTTCTATTAAGAATAATCAGATTTACTCATTTCTACATTATTCACAGTATAATTATTTGGGATTTCTTTTCCATAAGAAAGACTCCAATGGGATGTTGATATTTATGGTGTTTTGCTAGCATGGCATAGTGTTTCATAAAAATTTGCTGTGCACCTCATTGCTTTCTATTGTAAACTGCAAATTTGCTAACCAATTCAAAGCAGTGTTCAATAGGCTTCTTCCAATGCCCTCCCCTTTTCTAATCCTCTAGCCAATAATCAAACATGAGTCAAGGTTGCTGCCCCATTGATAGCTGCACCACCTGGTGGCATTGCTTTTTCACAAATGGTAGCTAAAAGATGTAAAACTGGGGACAATGATATCTAGGTAGGCTCTGTGGGTTTTTAGGCTGTGCATTTGATGCTACCTGGGCTTGGTTTCAGAGGTTCCTGGGCTTTTCCCCAAATGAACAGTGATCCCCTCCAAATACCCTTGTCTTACAGAAGAGGAAACTGAGGCTTGAGGTCTTCACATGTGCACACCCAATTGGTTGTCTTAAAGTTGCAACTTTTGAACCTAGGTCTCCTAACTGTCTGTAAAGATCTCGTTCCATTCTATATAAATCTTCAGTGTGCCACGTGAAGAGTATATTTGAAGAATTCTTATTTTATGATCATTTAGCTTCCACATGTGGGGTTATTATTGAAATCAGGTCACAAAGAGGCAACAATTGCAGTGTCTTTGGGACATTGGGGCATTAACAAAATTGTAAATGCAACCCTAAAGGTCTGAAAACACAATAATCTCCTATGCATGTCCTTCTTTCTTCAAAGTTAGTCCCTGTGATAACCTGACAACAATCTGTCTAAAAACAGCTGCCAGTTAAAAATTAATGTCCTGCCAAAATAAATATCATTTATTTAAACTGCTAATGATCAGCACATTTAAATCACTCCATTTGTAAATCCCTTCAGAAGAGCCACTGCAAAATTTATGTCCCAGGTCACATATGCATATTGTATATGATTATCCATAAGCAATTCTTCAAACTGTAGTTACAGTTAACAAGTGCTAGCCAGTCAACATATGGACCACAGATATTTTAAACCACTTGTTTAAACATATTATGAGGAGTCAAAATGCTTCAAACTTCCAACACCAACTAAACCTTTCAAGTGTTGTGACCGGTTACATGATGTTAGAGGACAATTATTCAGTGGCATAAAGTAGACCACGGTGACTGGCTTATTTTCAAAGTCAAAGGTTGGAAAGAAAATGTATTTTGTCTTCTTTCCTTAGATTATAGAGAGGAAATATTTGTTGGAATCAACATAGAATTTGTGAGATCAATGCACAACTAGTATGGACAAAGCCTGGTGGGTGAGTAGCTTCAGGGCCTGTCATACTGCACAGTGTGACTTCTGAGGTACTGGAAAGTTCATGTAACTATGAGAGTATTCTGAGACATAAAAAAACCAAGGATTTATCTCAGTGTCTTATAAAAAGACAAAGAATCCTGATAGACAGGATAGATTCAACCATACCAGTCATTTAGACTTTAGTGGTGATTAGTTGACAAGGATTATCATGAGTATAGTTATCCAAGAGAAAAAAATAAAAACATCATAGCTTCATTAATCACCTGCCATGGGAAAAAGAAGGAGAGTAACCCAAAGGATGGATAAGCAAGACCAGGCAGAAAGGAAGGTTGGGGTTCTTTGAAGATTTATTTCAACCACTTCACAGTTTTACTGTGAGCTGGAGAAGATGCTAATCTTTAAATAATCTTTCTTCCTCTTTGTTGGCACCATATTCTTTTTTTTTCCCCCCACTCAGTGTTCTTGGGAATGTGATCTGCCACTGGGGGACAACTTGACATAAGTTGACTTGGAAAATCGTTTATTCATTCACTCAGTATGTATTTATTGAATACCCACTGTGGGTAAGGAATTAGCTGAGTTCTATCTGTATGAGCAGTTTCCAAGTAGGGAGTTCGTTTGTGACCCCATACAGCTCAAGGATTTGGTCCTGTGTGTTTGATAGTCCATTTGACCCAGCAGGGTACTCCAGCCTCATCAGCTCATGTCACCACTCCTGTGCCAGAGACACTTTCAGCCTGATGCCATGTTTAGAATAAAAGATGACTTGAAGACCACTGGATTTTTGTGAGATTCCTTGCTATGAAAATTCTTGCTTTAAAATGAAGAGAAAATGCAAAAGAGAAGAGTATAGTTTGGTTTTGTTATATGACTTATTATTTATTATTTGGTATTTCTAAGATGTCCTCAAAAACCACTATAATATTTTTTCTTAAAGTAATTCAGCATCATAAGCGCCTCTGCAGGGGAGGAGTTGGAAGAGCTCATTCTCTTTATTGCAGTCTGGTTTTGTGTGATATCTGCTGGGCGCAGTAACTCACTGAAAACAGACCTCTTCTGAGGAGGAGTGCCGGAATTGTGTTTGCCTGGTGTGCTGGCTTTCCCCTGGAGGCCCTTCCTTTCTTGTTTTCAAAAATTCTGTCAAAACACTTCAAGTGAGAGGAAAGGTTTCATTTCCCCGATAAGTATGCGGGGCAATAATGAAAGCTTTTCCATTTAATAATAAGCATTCAAAAGATTTGAAATTAATAAAACAGTTCAAAATTCTTAGGCTGTTTAAATTGTTATTTTAAAAACTTTCTTTGAATTTTATTTCAGTTGGATGGAATCTGCCAGGCATTTTACAGCCCTGCAGATGCATCCACAAAAGAAAGTTCTCTGTGGCCAAATGCCTGTCTGTAGGAAAGTGTTTGAATAAAAACTGGATTATTTGTCCAGTGGAATACTACACAGACTCTTAAGCATTTAGGTAGTGTGGCTATTAGATTTCCCAGGTCTTAAGAAACTATCCCAAGTGTAGATACCAAAACCCACTTACAGTGTAGTGCTCATGGTTTTAATCCCAACCACCCCATGGATGGACACGCGCACATACATGAAATCAAGGAGGGACTTTGAAAACCCTGATGTTTTGCCTCTGAGCAGGGCATGTGGGTGCTGAATTTAGCGGTCGTATTTTACATTCCTTCTGCCCTGTTTTAGTGTTTTCACCATCAGCAGGCCTTGCTCTTGTATTAAACCAGGGAAGTAAAGGAAGCCCAGTGAAATGGCTCATCCTTCCTCTTCTTCCTGCCCCATGCCAGCCATCATCCACCCACACTGTTGTGAGAATTGTCACACAGGTGCCGTGGATTGTCTGCAGGCAGAGGTGTCTCCTCCAGTGTTGCGGGAATATTGGCTTCTGGCTACAGAGAAACCTTTCAGCTCTTTCTGCTGTATCACAGACTTTATTTAGGCAAGATGGCAATAGCTCCTTTAAGCAACAAGCTCAGCTGGAGACAAAGTGAGCAGCTGCTAGTGGGAGAGTCACTGCACTGCAGGTGCCATCTGGGAGGACAATATTCAGGTTGTAGAATGGGACACTGACACTTGCAAACAAGCCCAGGCCTCTACTGAGATCCAAACACAGGTCCTTCCCTGTTCACTTAGAAGGAAGATGGCAACACACCATGTTAGTGTCACCAACGGGACACTGACACTGTCATTGAGCATATTCCTGTGGCTTCATGTTCACACCTGCTTGTATAGGATTCTTTCCTCAGGCTCAGCCAGCCAGCTCCTTCTCCAAGTAACACGCCAATCTCAGAGGAAGAAAATAATTCTTCTTATAGTCTCCCTTTGGTCAGCTAACAAACACAGATGACTGCAGGTATCTCGCTTCTGTTTGTTTTGTGTATGGAATAGGATTATTACAACTACCTCTGCCTGGACATCCCTGCTGACTCTGAACTCACTTTGGGTCTGGTTATACATTTCGCAGTGTATAAATGTGTGACATAATGAAGTGAGTCTTTTAAACTCAGACAAAATCAGATTAAAACATAGACTCAGTCTATTTGCTATAATAACTCCAGGGAATTATTTAACCTTTCTGAAGCTGTATAAAAAGTGAATAATAAATTTTATGTCACACGGTTATAATAGAATAAAGTGAGTTAAGATACAAAAAGACATTAGTACAGTGCCTAGCATTTGGTAAGTACTGAATATAAGTTTTATGTTTATGTTTCATATGAAAGCACTACATTTGGGGGCCATTTTTGACCTCAAAAACTGAACTATTTTATCTGGTTCAACCTCATATTTGTATTTCTCATCTCTCGTTGTCTCCTGTTGAGACAGAATCTTCTTCTCTGTAACTTGTACCACTAGATTAAAATGCTGTCTGCAGAAACTACACACACTGCATACAATTTCTTTTCCCAACTGGAACATTTCAAAAAGAATAAACTAAGTACAGGTAAGTTACCTGAGGAAAAGCTGTTTTCAGGTCTGTGAAACTTGGTAGACTCCACTGTGCTGGTTGTTCCCATTATTAAGCTGTTATCTGTCTAGAACATCATGCAACCTCCTGCTTTAGGATATTGGGCTCACCCGCCTTTTCTGCTTGACTGTCTGACTTCTGAGCAGGATCTGCCTGACCAGTAGGGGGCGACAGAGGGGACTGCAAAGCCAGAAGAGGAACAAGATTAAGCCATTTCCTGTCTGCTTTCTCTCAGTTTCCTGTTTATGCCTGTCTTGTACCACTGAGTTCTAGAACTCATTGCCATCTTATCTGACTTGGGTGTACTGAGTGAATTGTCAGGGGTGATACCAGGCCCTGAGAGCCTGTCTGCACCCTTATTTGTTCAATATCCACTTTGTACTATGTGTGGAGTAAGACACTGGTGCGTGTTATCTTATCAAATTCCCACACAACTCTGCAGGATGTGAGTTCTCTTTATATTACAGCTGAGGAAATGGGCTCAGAACTGTTAGTGGCTTGCTCTTTGTCACCCAACCAGTTGTGTCAGAGCTGAGGGTCAAAACTAAGTGGGCTGTGCCGATGCAAATTTTTCTGCCTTGTGGTGTCTTTCCCATGCCTCTTTTGTCCTTGTATGGCTGCTTTGGCCCTCTAAGAATGCTTTTCTGTGCCGGGCAGCCTGGTCCAAAAGGAATGCTCTCTTGTTTTATTCAAGTTGCTGTGTGCCAGCTGTCCCCACCCCCAGCCAGAAGTTGTGCCTTGTGCCTGCCTCCTCAGAGGCACTAGAATTTGTCTCTTTTCTGTTTGTAATACACACAGGACTGGGCTGTTAGTCACACCATCGACCAGACCTCACAGAACCTCTGGAATAATGAATTGCCCAGCTCCTGCCAAAATGAGTCACACCATGGCCACGAAGGAAACTTATCTCCTCTGACTCTCTCCTATCTTGTTCTTCCCTCTCCCCTTTCTCATCTCCTGTGATCTGTCTTCCTGTTGTAACTGGAGCATTTTCTCCTGTCTTGAAGTTCTGAAATGTCTTTGGGACTCATTAATGTCAGCAAGACTCGTCAGGGATGTCTGTGGCTTTCTACCCGGGCAGTTAAACGTAGTCTACACGCACCTTTGGGTACCTATGGCTGGAATATAAATGTTCCTTTTTGTAAAACAAGATAACCTCAGCCAAAAAAAAAGATCCTACCATGATGAGAAATGAAGGCTTAAAGAAGCACCATTAGCTGGCCTGGTCATGTGACTTCATGAAGGATACAGAGGTCGTTTGGTGGTGTGGCCTCTGGTTGGAAGAGGGTTTTTGGATGGCAGACTGCCCAAGCGAGGCGTCTCTTCACTGATTCTCCCTGCCTCCTGTGAGGTAAACCCAGGATCACCCAGCAAGTGAGACCTCCCCATATCCTTACTGTCAGTTATTATTTCGTATTGTTTCTCTATAGATGTTACCACCTAGGAATGTTTGATGGTTACTTATGTTTCTTATGTCACCAGAAGTCTAGATGACGCTGTCCAGGGTTGATGTGATACACACTGATGTCTTCAGAAAGCTAGACTCCTATCTTTCTGCCCTTCATTATTAATTGATTGGCTTATTACCTCATGGTTGCAAGATGGATGCTGTAACTCCAGATATTATATTTTTATTGAAGGCACTAAGAAGTGGAGACGAGTTGGCAAGACCCCAGCTGCATTAGTTCCCTGTTTTGGAAACAGATGTTAGCTTGTGTTTCATTGACCGTAACTGTGTCACATGTCAAACTTGGTGCGGGAAAGTCAATATGAGGAGGCGCAGCTTTCCTGTACGCAGAAATGGTAGGAACTAAGGAGTTGATGCCTGTTGGGCTTGCCGACAGATAGTGTCTGTCACAGTCAAACGGTGGGAAGTCATGAAGACTCAACTGGCAGGCATAAGCAGTCTTGCCTGCAATGAGAAGGAAGTAATAATCTTGAGTCTCACTGTGTGCCAGATTTTGTGCTGGGCAGCATTCCTGGATCCACGCATGTTACAGTCACCACCTGTGCCGCTGAAAAGCTATGCTCTGCAGCAGTATGCATGTTGCTAAATTAGGAAACTGAATTTGAATCCAGATCTGTCTGATTGAAAAGCCTAGCCCTTCTCCCAACCCATGCTGCCTCTAGGAAGTTGAGGCCAGTTTTATAAAGTGGAACTGGGGGACCTCACAGAATCTTAGCACCTTCATTGAATTGCCAGCATAGCACCCCAGTCATCTGCACAGAGAGTAGGAATTTTAACAATTATTTTATGGACCCCTGTTTTAAAATAAGGATAATAGTTAAGAGCAAACTGGCCTAGGTGGCAAGAGATCCAGTGCTTTTTCAAAGGTGGTGTTCCAGTGCCCTGTAATTTTGGGTAAGTCACTTTCCCTTGTCCTGTGATGTGAAAGGTTTACCCCTTGTTCGAGTGTGTGTGTGTGTGTGTGTGTGTGTGTGTGTGTGTGTGTGTGTTGGAGGCAACGGATACAAATAGACCTAAAACATAGTAAATTAGTGGTGAGTAAACATCCAGCATGTTAGAAGGTGATCAGTGGAGTGGGGAAGGAAGAGAGGAGAGGGTGGGGAACCCACAGTGCTGAGAGGAGGCTGCAGTGGTCCTGGGAGCACAGGATTTGAGCACAGACTCTATGATGGCAAGGAGGTGTCAGGCTGCATATCACTGGGGAGGTGCTGCAGGTGGAGAGAAGAGCTTGAACAAAGACCCAAAGGCCAAGTGTGCCTTCTCAGCGTTGTCTTCCCCATATAAGGCCCTACCTGGAGCCCCTCTTATCCCAGGGCCATCATTTCCTTTCAATCTGGACCCTTGGAGGCCATTCAAATCTGACCTTGCTGTAGCAGTTAAGGGTGCCAAGCCTAGCCTCCACCTTACTACTCCTCCTTTCGTGTTGCAGACACCCTCACTTCCTAGGGAAATGCTGGTAGAAGGACTGAGGCCTGATGACACTGGAGTCTTTTCACAACAGCTCAGGGACCTTTTGAGCTGACCCTCCATTTCCAGACAGTTCCTCCCACATACAAGTGACTCAGTGTTTTCATCACATTGCCGAACAATTGTCTGTCTGTCAACCATAAATCCCAATTCAAGAGAGCTGTGTGTTCCTCTGTACCAGTCAGTGTTCCTGAGCCAACCTGTAACAGGTGGACCAGGTCTTCCCCATTAGCTCCAGAAATGACCTCACTAACCAAGGCCAGGGCCCTGGGGGAGACAGCCATTTGCTAAGCAGTGCACACACTGGGGACGGATGTGTTTAAAGAAGCCTTTGAATTCATCTTGAAAGATGAGAGAAAACAAAAGTTGCCTCCCTGAGCTGTATCGCAGGCAGTGAAGTTTCTTGGAATCTAAGGACAGTGGTATTGCTGTCCCTAGTTGAACTGAGAACTGTAACATGCAGGCTAACCTGTGCCCAGCCACCTGCTCTAAGGTAGACTGCACTTTAGGCAAGAGGCTAGACTAGGGCCCTCCATGTTGCACGGACCTCTGCTCAAACACTGCACAGAGCTGGGCGTCACCCACAGGCTACGGAGAAATTCAGTGTGGAGAATGACTCAGCAGGAATTGCATGTCTTCCCGTTACAGCCCCCCATGTACCCCTCGCATTTGTTTGATGGGAACAGCACTAACACTTAACTTCTGTTTTCTACCTGGAGTGAGGCTGCAGGTGAGAATTTTGAATAATGTGCAAAATGGATGAGTCATTTAAATTGCGGGGAGTTTGAGTCAATGTCAGGATGCAGGTCATTGAACCAAGCTTCCTATTGGGTTTTCTTCCCCCTCTGCTGAGAAGCAGAAGCAGCAAGCTTCTTTCTGAGGTTTCCTAGCCTGCTTTCCCCATCTCTTGAGCAAAACTCAGAGACCATTGAGTCCGGACACGTTGTTAGAAGTGGCGAGTACACAGGAAAAGGGGAAGCATTGCCTGGAGAATTCTGATCAGAGTATAAAAGTCAGTCTGCACACGAGAAATTATACAAGGGATTTACGATCTCTGTTTGCACAGCAGTGTGCCTACAAGATAGAGGATACTTGCTTATCCATCCAGAAATCTGTAACTGTACCCAACTCTGTTCTAAGCACTGGAGGTAGGCAGTGCACGCTACAATTAGACTCTCTCTGTTCTTACTAGATTCAGCCAGATGACCCTGCTGGTTTGGTACATTTAAAACTGAATGCAGTAACAACTATATGATCCAGCTGTTCCACTCCTAGGTATTTTTTTCAAAAGAAAAAACACACGCACCCAAAGCCTTGTACATGTTTTGCAACAGCTCTATAACCTAAGCTGGAGACAATCAAAATGTCTGTCAACAAGTGACTGCAGAATTGAACTCCAGTATGTCCATGCAGTGGAATACTATTCAGCAGTAAAAAAGAGCAAATACTGCTACATGCTACCAGGAGGTGCCTCAGGAACACGCTAAGTGAAACAAACTGGATGCAAAAGGCCACATATTGCATGATATCTTTTAGATAAATTGTCTAGAGACAGGAAGACACAAAGTGGCCCGTGGGATTTTGGGGAATTATGATGTGTTTACCATCTTGATTGTGGTGATGATTTCACAAGAGTGTCATGGGTCACACCTTACCAAATGGCACACTTCATATAGGCACAGTTTTGTTACCTAACAAATAGAGGCATTTAAACCAAATAGCAATGATCATCGCGTTGACAAGTGGAATGGATGAATTTTTAAAACCATTTTCCACACATTTATTGAAAACTCCCCATGTGTCAGGTACCAGGAAGGGTATCCATTGATGAATATCCATTGAGGCTCAGTGGGAGACACAGGTTTGTAAACAGACAACTGAACAACTCTCCCACAGGTACTTCTGAAGCAATTACCAGGTCTAACCAAGTTGTGCTTTGTTGATTGAATTTATGCATGTGTCTGTGCCTTCTTGTTTTTCAGAGTGACTTGTGGTCTTTGGGAATCACCGCCATCGAGATGGCAGAAGGTGCTCCCCGTAAGTACCTTTCTCTGGGGTGACATCTGTTGCTGGTCCACTCTGCAGGCCCTGCAGGCCTCTTTCCAAGAGCTGCAGTTGCTTTATTTCTGCTACGCTGAGCCCTGCATGAGTCTGAGCTGGCATATTTAGAAAGCAGAGTCTTCTTAAATCAACCAGGAATCCGTTCATTTCAAAGCAGTGTGTTTTTATTAGGAAAAAAGGAAGGCAAACTTCAGGGAGTCCTGTTTGTCTTACAGATTTAGTGTGCAGTTTATTCTTGAACTCCTCTCTGCTCAACATAAAACTGTGAGCAACCCACAAAGACTATAAACTCCAGTTACAAAAATTCAAAGCTGATTTTTAGTATACAAGTTATATAAACACTTGTTCTCAATTGCTTTCCACCTCCTTAAAATACTGATGTTTTTAGATCTCCAGCTCTTATTTGAGAAAGAGCGGCCAGGACTCTGGCAGTCTTAAGAACCTCCCAGATTCCTTGTGATCTGGAGTACTGGCACTGTCGAGTGTCTTGTCAAGGTGTGATGGCCATGACATGTCCCTTATAGACTCTTCCTACAGGAAGAGTAACTGACCGATGGCCCAGCTGCTGCTATGGCACAGAGCCTGCCTCCCCCAGGGGCCACTCCCCATCATTGATCAAGCATGGTAGGAACACCGAGGCACACCCTTTTCTGGAAGACACAAGATAGCTTTGTAGACTTTGCCGAACCTGCCCTGGACTGCGATACAGCCTGAAACACTTCCACCTACCCTTTCTCCTCCTCATGCACTCACAGTCAGACTTGCATAGCATTCTGATGACTATCCTCACCCTTCCTGGCTCCCTCCCTAGTTCTCCTCACACAGGAATTTCTTCAGTGATGTTCTCACACATTTAATACTACCTTGGGTGTCTGCCTCTCCAAAGACCAGGACCAGAACAGGCCCTTCATGACAGGTGGTTATACTCGCAGCTGTCTACCTTTGGGTTACCATAGTCTTCTTATTTCTCAGCTAGAATTGGTCGAATTCATCTGTAGCATGATTGATTTGCAGTGTTTGTTGACAAAACTCCCCCCATTCATGATGTTAATAGGCATTTGTGAATCAGAAAACCAATATGCTCGTCTTAAAACTATGTTACCGTCTTGCTGAGTGGTAGACAGGGCTAAGAATAAACTTGTACCCTCAGAGTCTTCTGGTTGTGATGCAGCATGTATTCTTAATCTAGGTACAAAGAGAAAAGGACTCCCAGCTGTTTGAAAAGTAAACTAATAAAATATTTTGATTAAATTAAGAACGTATGAGTCCTTTCACTGTAAACGATAATGTAATATTTACAAGTTGAGAATTTTTTATAACTTTGCTTTTCTGCTGGTCTCCATTTGACTTAATCCTCTTGTTCCTAGGGCCAATAAATGGTAAAACAAAACAAAATCCGTCATGAAACCTGAAAAGGTGTTCTGGAATAAGACTTTAGATTCTGGAACCCTGTGTAGATAACACGGTGTCCGGGTGAGCTTCCAGAATTCAAGAAGCAGACAAGATTATCAAATGCCTTTTATTTTATGGCTTAAGCTTTTGCTAACTAAAAATAACTGTAACACTGTAGTTGTCTCCTGACATTGTTAATCTGGAATGTCAGATGGTTATTTACAACAAAGAAGACTGGTTATTGGCCCTTTAACTTACTCTCCTTAAGTATGAAGTAAACATGTTCCCTGGAAATGCTAACAGTATCTGTTTGAAAGGTGTGGTACTTTATGAGATGCCTTTAATCAGACACCAGGTCTTTTCAGTGCTTACCAAATGAAGCTTTCGGCTCTCCTGCCCCCATGCTCACGGGTCCTGTGTAGACCCAGGGAGGCATTTGGCACCTTTGTCCCTGCACAACCAGGGTGGACTTGGCATGGATTTGGCCGTTATTTTGGTCTTTTGCAGCTCTCTGTGATATGCATCCCATGAGAGCCCTCTTCCTCATCCCCCGGAACCCAGCACCTCGGCTGAAGTCAAAGAAGTGGTGAGTTTGGTCTTCAGTGTTTTGCGGATCTAAGGGTGGAATTTTCCTGTGGCTCTCTTTTGAATTAGCTCAGATCCTAAGTCCTGCCGATGGGATTCAACTAACGTATACTAGGACTTAGTGGATGATTTTTCCATATACTGTCATTCATCTTAGAATAGTAGCTTCATTACCTGCTATTTATACAGCAAGTCGTTTGCCCCACGCCTTCAAGATAAGGAGCTATTAGCCAAAATGAAGCCCAAGGAAGACACAAAATCTCTTCGATTTATAACTCCAAATATATCCTTCCTGGAAGCATGAAGCATCTTATCAGAGAAGGGAACAGTCTGTTAGGTTGCCTGACTTCCGTTCTTCAAGACGATGGTCCCCTGAGTGCACACACTCACCTGGCAGTGTTCAAAATGCTCTCTCGAGCACAAACATGAGCAATTGTATTTCTTGTGCTTCTTTCTCTTTATGGCAGGTGATATTGAATTCTTATTTGGGGTAGTGATATTACCTTTGCTTTTAATAAGCTTATTAAAAAGGTGACTCGTTGTAAAGAAAGCTACTATGTAAATACTATAGTGAGTGGGGTGGGGATATGGCAAGGCTTGTGTAGATCGTGTATGATTGGCTGAAATTTGAGAAACGGAGTTTTACTGGTTATGCTTTTTCACTTTCTTGTGTACTTATAGTGGGATCTCTATCTCACCATTCTACAGCAAAAATTCATGGCTTTCTCCTTCTCTCTTACAGAAGTGGTATTTCCTGATACATTCTTGAATCTGTGGTCCCTCTTGCTCTGAGAGGCAGATTCCTGCCTACTTGTGACCTGCTTTCTTTTTTCTAGACACAAGTCCTGGGCAGTTAGGCCAGCAAGGGACAAGCCCTTTGTCCCTTTTCATACCACTTCATGATCAGGCCCTTTATTGGGGCCCTCAGTTTCTCACCCACAGGTTTACCCCACCACACAGAGAGCAGGCTAAGTTAATACCAGTCAGTGAGTAACGACATAGCAACCCTGGTGAACAAGGGGAAGGCGTGCTGCACAGAGAGGAAGGAGACCACAGGAAAAGCAAAGGCAGCCTCAGAGTTGCCAGGCAAGCAAGGGGAGAGGGAGTTGCTATTAGTAACGAGAGGCAGCGCCTTCCCCGCCTCCTTCCTCTCAGAGGGTCACCGCAGTGAGACTAGTTCTCTCCCCAGCAACAGCATCCCATTGGCCACTTACCTCATGTGATCCTGTGATCACCGAGCGTCCTGAAGCCCCCATGGCTCTCTCCTCTGAGTCTTCTCTCTCCTTCCTGGATCAGGCTTTTGGGAGAGAAGCCAGCTCAGTTCCCTTCCCTGAAAGCGACAGCGGGACTACAAAGTCCCCTGCCTGCAAGGTTTCTGCTTGTCCTTGTGCCCAGACTCCCAGGGCGAGCTTGCTGTATTCACTGGACTTGACTTCCTGGCCCCTGTCCCGCCTTCTCCTCCTCTCTCTTCACTGCTCCAGGGCAGATGCTTTGAGTCCTTCAAATGCATCTTATTTGCCTGGCACAGCAAGGCCACACTTTGTTCTTGAGAGATTTACATTCATCTCTAATGCTTCAAAATCTAATAGTTAGATTGTGGGTCCTTTTTGTGAAAGAGCACAATGTCGCTCTGCTGGGCGGCCCCTGCTCCCTTCAGGAATACAGTTGTCCTTCTGCTCCAGCTGCCACTTCTCCCCATGCCCAAGCATCACACTTGTTCTGCTTTCTACTTAACTGCAGTCTGCAGGGTCCCTCTGAACTCCCCTCAGAACCCTAGCTGAGCAACAAACAGCCTACAACACGGTGGGTTTCACCGATATGCCCAAGAAAGCCCAGCTGTGCACAGCCCTTGTTTGAGAAATGCTCAGTGTGGGGGAATGTAGGCTGAGTTTTCTGCTTCAAACCTTTGGCAATGAGAACTAGTTTTGATCATGCTGGAAAAGTCCGGAAACAGCGAGGGGCAAGGCCAGTCTCATCATGTACCCACTTCCTGACCAGTAAGGAAAGCCAGGTGGGACTGTGGGACAGAGAAAGGGAAAGCAGTTTGAGAGTGAGCCGGGCACTGATGCCCGCACAGTGTACTACCTCCCAGTTAGATCCCAGTCTCTGTAATGTGGTTTATGGAGCTGCCTCCAGCCAGGTGGCGCTTGATACTTGACCTGTCCCCATGCATGAGAGTTCCAGTTTTTATGTGAAAATATTTAAGCACTTCAGATTACTTTTTCTTAAAACATTAGGTCCAAAGTGATTTGAAATAGGCAAGGGTTTGCTTTGATAAGCTCTAAGGTTTGGAAGGAAATAAGCCACTCACCCCCCTCCCCAAACAAAAGAAACAGAACTGCAAAGTGTTCTGTGATCCCCAGCTGTTGTCTACCTAAATGAGTTGTCCACGTGCAGTCTTCTCGTATCTGTTTCAACACATTACTACAGGTGGGTACCACTGTGGTGGAGATGGGGCCATGAATGCTTTTCCTTGTAGGCAATCCTACAAGGAAAATGAGGGCCATTGTCAACTAACGTTACTGAGTACAGCACACACAGCAGCAGGCAGTCTCTTTGTGAGCACAGTTGTTTCCCCCAGTCCTTGCAGAAGGAAAAGAAGCCACCGCCTCTAACAGAGCCTGGCCCTTTCTCCCATGGGAGTGAGGAAGAGAGGCCTTCTGGCTAAGGGAGTCATGGGGTTGGGGTGCCACTAAATGCTTAGGCAGCTCAGCTATGTGATGATAGAAGTGGCTGAATCAGAATCAGAGATGCTTCCACTTTGCCCTGTGAACCCCCACTTCCTCCTTCTGTCTTCTGTGTAGGGTGGATGCCACCCACATGGGCAAACTAGCTCTTTCAGAAGGCTTCCTCCTCTCTTCCCTTTCCACCTGGCTCACCAACACACCTGCCCTTGGAGGCAGGCTCAGTGCCTTGGTTGCCCTCCAGGGGATTCTGGAGGACAGGTGGCTCTGTTCCTGAAGACACAGTCAGTCATGATCTCTTCATGTACCCTTGAAATTGAAAGAATCCACACAGGAACGCAGGGGTAGGTTGAGATCATTGGAGAAACATAACTGCTTATAAATATAAGATCTCCTGGTCCAAACCACTCCCGTGTGATCTAGATGAAGACTTGGAGCCCCAAGGGAGGCCGAATGGCATAACCAGGCAGAGTTCCAGGCTCTTCATTGCAAGGCCAGCCTGGATCCCCAGTCTTCTGCTTCGACTCCACAACTTACAGTCTCATCTGTTATCTTACAGGGCGCCAGCTCCTGTTCCTGCTGTGATGTCAGGCACTTTTGTTTTGAGATATGATAAATCTCTTGGTGTGTGTATTCTAAAGAAAATAATGATGCTATAAAGCAAATACCATAAAATACTTCCAATCTACTGAATTTGCTAGTAACAGTGTGACTGTGAACTTTATTAGAATCAAAACAAAAATTGTTACACAAGCTTTTAAAATTAACCTTTTTCATGTAGTCTCCCTAATTCAAAAATTCCTACAATAATTCCCTTTAAAATCCCAATATAATTTCAAGTTTGAGACCAGCCTCAATAACCTAATAGATAGGTTATTAAAACCTATCTCAAAAAGCAAAATATAAAACAAAAGGGCTGGAGGCATGGTCCAAGTAGAAGAGTGCTTGACTAGCATGGGCAAAGCTCTGGAGTCAACCAAAAGAACCCTCTGCAGTCATGTGTCACATAATGACATTTTGATCAGCAGTGGGCCACAGGTACAGCAGTGGTCGCATAAGACTGGATCTCGTGCTGATTTCGTAGCCATTTTAGCTTGTGCAGATGCACTCTGTGATGTTCACCCAGCCTCAGAATCACTTCTCAGAATGTGTCTGTGTCATTAAGCCATGCATGACAGAATTAGGAAAATAATCAACTTCAGACTTCTGTGCCCCAGTCTTAAGGGCAGGTGCTCTCTTCTTTGAGCCTGTGATAATCCTAAGAGGCTGGGATGTTTTCATCAAAGTAATAATAAAAGCACACATGCCATTTTTGTTACCAAGCACTGCCCTAAGCATTTTATATTAATTTACTCATTTAATCATCATAACAGTTTTTTGAGATAACTAATAATATTGCAGCAAGGGACGCAGGCATAGAGAAGTTAAATAAGTTGCCTAAAGCCACACAGTTAGAAAGTGATGGAAACCAAAGTACAGAAAAAAAGATAGTTCTGAGAAATAGGGCAAGGCCACTGCAAATTTTAAAGGTCAAATTGCATTTAGGAAGTCTGATGATTACCAAAAAGATTTAGCCCACCTGATTACAAGGGTTAACACAGTCATCTTTTGGGCATTTTGAATTCCCCTAACATAATTTAATATATAAACAGGATAAATCCGGGAAGATAAGGTGTTTAGTGACGCTGGTGGTAAACTAGTGTTTCAGACTGTAAGCACCTTCATTAACATTTGCCTGTCCGTGCTAACCCTTGGGAAATTAGTATTACTAAGCTTAGTTGTCCCCCCTCCCCCGAAGGGATATTGCTATGTTACCAGCAGCAGAGAGTCAAGCAATAAAGTTATATAAATGTACTTTAAACCCACTAAAACACTCAGCAAACAGTCAGGTAATATTCAACATAGGTCAAGTATTTTCACTTATAATTAAATGTGCAATTCAGCATATTGATTCTTTGGTTACACTAACTTAAATAAAAGACAGTGACTTTTTCTTCAGAAATGAATTTTAAGCATTATTTTCTCTTCAACTGATGCCATGTGAAGAAGACAAAGATAGAACGTACCACCAGCTTTGTAGCTCTTCTCACCTGAACCTATCCTTCAGGCCCTAGGGGCTTCTCTTGACTCCCTTCCTCCAGGAAGGTCTGAAAAAGTGTTTCATAAAACTCCCAGGACACTGTTCCATCCTGGAGATCTGGAGATTTCTCTGGCTTTTTTTTTAGATGTCAGTGTTGAAGAATGGAATGTACAGTCTGTTATGCCTGGATGTCATTTTTCAAATTGGATGTGAGTTCTTTTATTTATCATCGTCTAATTAATAGTGGAGTACGTTATAAAAAATAAGCACTTCCTTCTAGTTGCCAGAAAGAAAAGGAGAACTTCCATTTGCATTCCTTGTGAATATTTAATAGCTTTCTGTCTTCATTTGCATTTGTTTTCATCTTTTTAATACTGATTTTCTTACTTAGCTTGCTAGAGAAGCTCTGAGTGGAGTTTGTTTGTTTGTTTTCTTATTCAGCTTAACCTCATTCTTTCCACCTATTCCTTAGGAGAGCCCATTATTTCTTTATGCTTTTCTTTCAAGGTCCTCCTTAGATGATATCATTTTCACACCTACACATGTTTATTTGATCAAAATCATATCAGTCCTCCAGACCCCCTTTTCTGTCCCTCACAAACACAGATTTGAAGGTGGCCCTCTCCCAGCACTTCCACCTGTGCATCCATTCATCCATCAAACACACAGAACAAGTAGTGTGTTCAAGGTGCAAAGATAGCTTGGGAACTTCCTGACACACTTCCAGTATGAAAGAAGCAGGGATATAGGCAGGTGCATAGTATCTCTCCTGTGACTAGTCCTCGTTCATCCTGGGCTGATCCCCAGCACAGTACATTACTTTTCTTTTTATTTAAAATATAAACATAGCTTAGAAATTTAGGGAGAAAAAAATACAAACAACACAATACTTGAAACACATGGAATGAGGGTGAGAAACTGCTCTGACCTAGGCAGAAATGGCCTGTCGTTTATATGAGCGCCCTGCTGCATTTGAATGTTGAAGAACAGACCTCCCATTGTGTTCTGTGTGGTGAAGACATCTCTCAGGCCCAAAATGTAGATAAATATATGTAAATGGCCTGCTGGAAAATGGGATCCCAAATGGTGTTTGGGATCTACAATGTGCCACAGGAGGGCGACAGAGCGCAGGAACTGATCCTTCCTGCTCTGGACCTCCTGATCAGGGTTCCAGCAAGGTCTGGTGGATGAAGTGCTGAGCTGTCAGGCGAGTGCTTGGAAAGTCATGCTGTAGAGTCATGAACTTGTGGAGTAATTCCTTGGAACTTTCAGCAAGCTCATGCGTGCTCAATTCATGAACGATGGCTAAAGTTCACCATAATTTCTACCACATTGCTATAATCATTGGCCTGTTATCTCTCTCCAGCCCTTCCTTGCCCCGGAGCATCTCTGGCACAAGACTTCTCTTTGATGAAATAGGGTTTTACTTTTCTCCACCTTGTGTTTTCTGCTTCATTTAGGCAGCTCATCTCTAGGTTCCCTGGCAATAGCATTCTCACTCATAGTTTTCAGCTTTCACTGACTTCCTACTTACCTGAACAATTCTTTCCCTGGAGTGATTTTCTTCTACTTCTTTAAAGCCCAGCTCTGGCTTCCTCATTTCCAAAAGCCCTTCCAGATACAATACCCAAACAGGTCTTTTTCTTCTCTGATTGCTTTTGGTCTTCTGTGAAAAGTTACGTATACACTGTGAAAATGCTTCCATGTATGTAAAACTATCATGTGTTACTTCATTTGTGTGTTGATAGTGACATAGTGATGATGTCTTTGATCCTATTGTATCTAATACAGTGCCAGACCTGTTCAGTGATTGGTTGATTCATAGGCTGACCAATGGGACCTTTTTTTTTTTTTTTCCAATTCCAGCCTTTCAAGAAATATATTTGCTTTTCCATAGGTAGCCATTTTATTTGTGGATTCATCTCTTTTGTTTGGCAGGTCAAAAAAATTCCAATCATTTATTGAGAGCTGCTTGGTTAAGAATCACAGCCAGAGACCAGCAACAGAACAATTGATGAAGCATCCATTTATACGAGACCAACCTAACGAGAGACAGGTCCGCATCCAACTCAAGGACCACATTGATAGGACAAAGAAGAAGCGAGGAGAAAAAGGTTAGATGTACATTTGTGTTTCAGCAAGAGAAACAAAGATGGAGTGAATCATAGGCTCTCAATGTATTCAGAGGTGACTGGCCATTTCACAGGGGCCTGCATTATTCCTAAGGAGTAATGAGAGGGGCCATCTGTGGCAGCAGTGGAGAGAAATCCACTGCTGAAGTGTGGGATCTTGCATGAAAAAATAGATCTGTGAGTAATATTACCTCTTCTGGGCATTGAACAAAGTCATGTTGAATGATACTACGAAGCACTTTCAAATGACAACTGATTTTCTTAATTCAAATGAATATTCATATTTAGAAGACTAAAACTCTACAAAAGACAATGTAAAAAAAATTTCATCAACTTGGCATTTTTCTGTACTGCCAGTCTTCAGCATTTAAGGTTTTGTGCTCTGAGGCTCATTTCTAATTCAGTCATTTAGAAGTCACAAAGAACTCTCTTTTAGTTGTAACGATATGAAAGTTCACTACGTTGCCAGGCTTGGGATAAAGAACATCAGATTTTGAGCTGAAGGTCATTTAATGCATTTCGTTATTTCCTCGCTGCAAAATGTCCCCTCTTGTACGTCTTTTCACTGCATCATTGGGATGAAAGGAGTGCAGATATGGGGCTCAGAGACTGTCCCCCCCTTGTTTGAACAGAGGCTTGCAACTCCTCCACTTGCACCCTTGGACCCCAGGATCTGGGGCAAGTTTTATGGCCAGCTGAGCATAATGTGGGGAAGATTGGGGTATGGAAGAGAGACATGGAGAAGACAGCAGTTAGGACTTACTGGGTGAAGAGCAGGAAGGAGCAGCTGATGGATGCTAGTGAGAGGTAATTTGGGTCTGGAAAGGTGGACGCTGACAGTGTGGTGAAAGGAGAGCAGAGCAAAAGACCACAGGCCAAGGGTGGGAGGGGACGTACAAGGTGGGGTGCCTCTTTTTTACTTCCTTCTTCTCCCCTTCAGTGCAGAGGGAGCAGTGCAAGGTGGCTGACAGACAACTCAGGATAGATGTTGCTCTCCCATATGTACATTTCCCTTTTTAAATTTAATTTTTATTTTATTGTTGTTGTGCTGGGGGTACATTGTGACATTTACAAAAGTTCTTACAATGTATCATAGTTGAATTCACCCCTCCATCATTCTCATTTATCTCCCCTCTCCCCATTCCTGGAATAGTTTCAACAAGTCTCATTCTTTCATTTTCATTCTTTGCCTCTGCAGTTAACCCACATCCCAGCAAGGTGTGTCTGCTGAGGTTGAGGGGTGGGGCAGTGAGGAAATTGGATTGGAGAGGTAAGATCATCAGAGGGCTACAGCAGGAGGAGAAATCAGTTGTGAAAGTTCGAGGGACAGCTTCCTTCTCCTGTAGCCAGCCTTGGAGACTCAGAGGAAAGGGTGTGACCAGCTTGGACTCAGGAGCAGGAGGTCATGGGCTAAGCCACAACGGAGGCCCATCTCCAGTTGCTAGTGGGTAGGAGGAATAAGATGTCAATCGGGCCCCAGGGAGATGGGAGGCCAGCTCAGCAGGGACTACAGGAAATCAATAGGTCAAAGTTTAAAAGTTCCACAAATGACTTTTCAACTGCTCTTTTTCCATCATGGTCTTGGGCCACTCCATGAACCAAAATTTTAAAGAGAGTATTTGAGGGCACTGTGCAAAACATGCATCCGTTATATGCCAACTTCCCTAAAAAAGGAAACTTTATTGTACTATGGATATTCAGAGAAGGTTCAGTGTTCTGACTCTGTTTTTAGATTCAAATTCTAGTTCTCCCCTTTTTAGTTACAGGAACTTCACATATTTCTCTCATGGAATTAGGAGTATCTATTGCCTGGAATTGTTGCAAAGATTCAAAGAGAGAATGTATATAAATCCTATATGTAAAGGTCTGGTATACAGTTGCTCTCAGTAAATATTAGCCTTTCTCAGGCAGGCAATTCTTTATTGACTTACAATTTTTTGGTGCAATTCAGGGATAACTTCTGAGCACTCATGACCCATGAATAAGATTGGGAAAATTTGTGTTTCAAGTTGTTTTCACATTTTTTGGCACAGATCTTGGTCTGTAATACAGAATTCACCATGCCATGAAGATAGACTACTTTTAATATGTTCATTCTCAGTAGAGTAGAAGAGTAAAACTTTTGGAAATATATTCTAGAGTAAGTCTTAATTTAAAAGATCTAATCTTGTTTAGGCTTAGGGCCACCAGAATCACAATTCTGTCCTCATTTTTATTGTCCTCTAAGCAAGGCAATAACTTAATTTTCTTATTCTCATACTTTCTCACTTTCTTGATAGCTCTCTATATGACCAGCTTTTGGTAGAATCAAGAAATTTTACTTTGCCTTACTTTATGATTTTTTTTAACCTGATATTTTTCCTTAAGATATGTTGACATGTACTAATTTAACCCAGTAATATAAAAGCAATCTAACCATATTCTGGTGAAGTATTAAAATTGAGCCTGACAAGTGAAGGTGTTGCCTTAGAGAGTGGAAGTAATTGAAATAATTGTGTGCTTCTTCCCTTGCTGTAATTTCCTTTATTAGAGAACATTTCCTCATTTTACTTAGAACTCTCTGTTTATCCATTTCAGGAAAGTTTGGAATCTTAAACTTTCAGGGTGGGGTATGAAGATACTTTTGCAGGTTCTGTACATTTTCGTAAAATCATACTTTAAAATATAAGTAGCCTGAAAAGTTCTTATTTATCTAAATGTATGAATTTAACTTATTTTTTAAAATATGCTTGAACTCATCGTACTTAGGTTTCTTTCGATATCTCTTTAATGGCCAAATAGTATGAAAGGAAGAAAGCCTTTTAGCCAATCTGAGTTTTCAACCAGTGAATGCTGTCTCCTGGTGGTCACTTAAGCAAATTGCAATTAAAGTTCCTTTTTAGGAGTACACAAATGTCTTCAAGATGTAATTATGAACCTACAGTAATGAAGAGCTAGCAGTCATGTGACATCTGCCTTTGCTTAAAAGCTCCTCCAAGAGCTCCTCTTCACCCACAGAAAAGTCCTCAGCCTGGCATGGCTAAGGATCAGTGAGCCATTTTACCCTGCAGACCTTTCTCCTTCCATCTGCTTTTCCCACATCTAGACACCTAGCTCCTCACGACTCACTGTTTCCTGGTATGTCATGCAGTGTAGTACTGCCAGCCTTACTCATGTGGACATGCGGCCTGCAGTGCTATTTTCCCACCACTTCCAGCTGCAAGCTGCCTGTGAAAGGGTCACTGACTTTCCAAAGCCTAGCTCATTCACCCTCAGTTCTTCAAATGTCCCTTTCCCCCATTCTGAGCCGTAGAAAGAGCTGCTCTTTCCTCTCATTTCTCGTTGCTTTTCAATGTGCTTCTCTTTAACATATAATATGTTAGACAGAATATTGGTTTTCAGGTTGCAAAAGTTCTAGATTGAATTCTAAATCCAAATCCCAGGTTGACTTTTGATTAATATGAAGGCCTTGGTCATAGCACTTGTCCTCTTGTAAACTTAGTATCTTCATTATATCAGAGGATTATTGTGAGAAATAAATGAGAGGACATAGGTAAAGTATCTAGCACTCACTGCTTGCATGGAAGACACACAACAAATATTTGTTCTCTTTCTTCATATTCATGAATGCTCTGATTTTTTTATTTGTTTTGCTCCTTGCATTCTGATCACCTCCAAAGCAAAGGCTCAATCTTATTCATTCTTACACAGTAACTTGTTTAATACTTTACTGCATTAAATGAGTGTCCCTAGTGGATTAATCAAAATGCATTTTAGCTATATATTCATTTTGTGTGTGGGAGGGGGGTGCCTGGTATCAAACCAAGGGTCTTGTGCATGCTAGGCAAGTACTGTACCACCAAGCTACATACATGACCCTAAATATTCTTAATAGAACCAATTGTCAAAATTTCTTTCCGATATGTTTTAAGAGATCGAAAGGCAATTTGTGAGTCCATGTAAGTCATAATAATAAATATAATACTAATAATAAAATGACTAATATTATGACTAATCATTTAATAGTTGATAAGTAAACAATGGACCAATAAGTTTGATATGGATGGCTCTAAAATTGGGATTAACAAAAACAGAAAGATTGCTTTTTAAAAATTTTTATTAGGATATATTTGTTGTATAGGGGGATTCACTGTGATAATTCCAAATCGGCTTATATTCCAGATCACCCCCTGCCATCCCTCCCCTTCGGCCCCCCCGCCCCACTTGAAGCAATTGCAAGAGGTTTCTTTGTTCTATTTCATATAAGTATATGAAGTCCATCTACCATATTCCCTCACCTTAATCTCAAAGGTTATTTTTTTTGGACTTTTTTGTTGTTGTTGTTGTTGTTTTTTGGCAGTACTGGGGTTTGAACTTAGGGCCTCACACTTGCTAGGCAGGCACTCTGTCACTTGAGCCATTACACCAGCCCTTTAAAGGTTATTTTTTAGTCCCTTACTTTCTCTTATGAACATTAGGCATAGGCGTTGGGGACAGATATGTAGCGTCAGCTGGGAGAGTCTTGAATGCAGTTAATCCCACGTACTTCAATCCAGCTGGCAGAAACTGTTGAATCACAAGTTGGCGGCTAGAGGCTGTCCCAGTTCAGTGGGGACTATGATTCTTTGGACCTCAACTTACTTATACAGTCACACATCGCTGAATGACAGAGGCGTGTTCTGAGATTTATGTTGTCAGGCGACGTTGTCATTGTGAGAACATCATAGAGTATACTTACGAAAACCTGTGCAGTACAATCCAGCTGGATGTGTGCTAAATGCAATCAAGAGAGGCAGAAAACGTAAACTGTAAGAGGTTGATCCTTGTATAATACTGCACACCAGTTCTGTTGTTTTTGTAATGTCGATGATCAAACCCAGGGCCTCAGACCTGCTGGGCAAGTGCTCTACCACTGAGCTACACCCCCAGCCCAGCACACAATTTATAGTAAACTTTTAAAAATATATAGAATATATATTGTAAAATAATGAATAAGTATATAGTATAGGAAATATATAAATCAGGAATAGTCATTTATTACTCTTATCAAGTATTATGCACTGTACATCACTGTATTGCTGTACTTTTAGGTTTGTTTCACCAGCATCACCACACACGTGAGTGAGGAATGCATTGTGCTATGAAGTTAGGACAGCTATGATGTCTGTAGGCTTGAATGTATCAGCTCTTTGCTAGCTTGTGGGACCACTGCTGTATATTCAGTCCATCGTTGAGCACGGTGTTGTTCTGTAGCTCTTGGCTATGTATGGAAAGGGAGGGAGGTCAGACTGCCCTGAGCAGAAGTGCTACCTGTGCACTAACCTGTGAGTCTCTCTGCAGATGAGACAGAGTATGAGTACAGCGGAAGCGAAGAGGAAGAGGAAGAGAATGACTCAGGGGAGCCCAGGTATGAGAGTGAAAACTAAGCGTCTTTATTTCCACGTTCTGAACTGTGCCTGTGTGAAATTCGCTTTCTTTTTGATTTATAGGTTCATTTTTAAGAATCCACAAGGGTGATCTTATTTAATTTATTGCCAACAAACATATTAATTTGGGAAATTTTCCCTAGGCGGACTCTTAGGAAAACATGGAAATCAGCATATTCTTTACCCTGTCCCCAAGATTTATGGTCTCTATTCAAGACCTTGTTTCTTCACATATGTAACATGTAAAGTGAATAGGAACCAATTACCCCTGCAATGCAGGACTGAAAGTACTTAAAACTGCAATTTTCTGAGACCTAAGTGATATTGTCGGACTTGAGTTGCTCAACTCCTTACCTCATCCCTTTGAAAAGCCCTTTCCGATGGCCACTGTCCTTGACATTTCGCTGCAGTCTAATCCAGGAGGAAATGATTTCCAGGAAATCAAATTATACTCTAGAGGTGAGCCCTAAATAGAAACCTCCATGCCATTCCTGTTGTCACATTGGACCCCAGAATCAAATGCTATGTGACTGTTGTCATCCAAACGTTTTGAGTTTCACTTGACTTTGACTCTGACCTTCTTCCAGTCTGTGTTTATTAACAATTAAGGCTGGTGCTCTCACACTTGCCAGTGTGAGAATTCTCTTTCATAAGAGAATTCCAATAGCAATTTGAGAGTCAGGAGTCACAGGCACACTTGCCATGGGGACTGTGCTCCGTAAATGTGCAGTAAGATTTATTGGGGGGAATGCAAGCAGAAGGGTTACTCAGCTACACGAGTTCCCATTCTCCATTCACTTAAGAATTACCAGTTCCTCTGTCAGTGGCACAAAGCTTCCTGACTGGAACAGGGACACCACGTGTTCTCTTTTCCAGCCAACTCAGACCTACCAAGCAGGATTGTCACTATACTCCCAGAAGAGAGTGGGACTGAGCTTACAAGGCCATGGGTTTTTCTGTCTTCACCTGCCATGGATTTCTCAAGGTCAAAGACTGAAGGAGAATTCTTTCCTTCTGTCTGATATATAACATGTTGACCACCCCCCATTTTAGCTGTGTAATGATGGTGATTGTCAAGCAGTACACAGAAGATGAACTTTCCTCTGGGGGAAAGGACCCACGGACGACCTGCTTTCAGGGAAGTTCTGTGCTGTTTCTCGAAAGCTTGCCCAGATGGCCGTGTCAGCCCTCTGACCATTCTCTGAAAAACTGAGAAACCCTGTCTTTCCAACACTTGCTAAACTGTTTCATAGGGGCCAATTAGTGAGCCAAGTCAGCTAAAATTGTACTATGTCATTCTATCACAGGGAAGAAAATGTACCAAGTCCTGTTTTTATGTACACATCTCATTAACCCTCAGGAAATCCTAAAAAGTAGAAAATGACAATGATTATCTCATTTTAGAACCGAGCCAACAGCTCAAAGATGGCAACCAGGTCACACAGAGAGTTCATAATTGAGTCAGGTTTCCTGACGTTGATTCAACACCAGTTAATATTAATGGGGTGTCCTGTGTGCATGCGAGGCCAGGGTCCCAATACCATTCTCTTTGCACAGAGTGAGTGACCTGTGTACACAGCACCCTCGTTTGGGGGTTGTTTCGGAGGTTTACACAAAGGCAGGAAGTTTTAGAGTAGACTCATTAGAATGCTCCAGGATTGTCTATGGAACCATCATGAACAAAGCCTTTTGACATTAAGTTATGGCAGTATCTCACACAGATGATAATGATTCTCCAAAAGCAAATGTTGACCTTCTTGTCAATGGCCACCAAACCTGCTCCCTTCATTCCAGTTCTTGCTGCCACCATCACTGAGCTGCCAAGACAAAACCTACAACTTTTGCTTTCCTCTACACATCAGATCTACCCACAGGCCTCATTAAGTCTGTCCCCAAATGCTTCTTCCAGTCTCTGTCCCCACTATTCCTGTCCAGGTGAAAAACTCTACCCATTGCCGCAGTAGCCCAACTGCTAGCTTTGTTTCCTCTGGTACCCTGGAGACCCCAGTCTGCAGCCATCAGACCTGCTCCTGTCACCCCTGTTCTGACAACCTTTCCGTACATGTCCATCCAGCCCCCATGCTTTCTCCAGTCTGTCTGTCTGACATCCTTGTATACCATGCCTCCTCTCCCTCCTGCTGCCCTAGAAGGACAGACTGGTGTTCTGTTCCTAGAAAAGCCCACACTTGTTCCCACCATAGGTTCCAAACTTGTTTTTCTTTCCTCCTGGGTCATTCTTCTTCTCCAGTAAGTCTCACCTTCCGGGAGAGGTCCTTTTAACCTTCCCAGAACCCTTAGTCCTCACTGAGCACTCTACCACTATCACTTTTAAACTGTTACCCATTTTTTTTGTCATTTATAGGGCATATTAATACTTGACATTTTATTATTTATAATTGTTTGTCTGTCTTCCCCATAAGAAAGTAACTCTGGAGAATGAATTTGTTTGTATGGCTGCTGCTGGGTTTAAGTAAACAAAAACCATTCCCCACCTCCTTATTAGGTGGCTGTGCAGAACCAAAGAGCCTGTGACAGGCTCACGACTTTATACCCTATAACCTGCAGTTAGGTAGGAGTAGGGCAGCTCTAGACTGCTAGCAAAAGAGGTGAAGTTTTTCATGTCCTCTTGCTCTTTGTCACACACTCAAGTGCACAGATGAGGAGACTGTTCCGTAATCGAGATCCAGGATTCTGTGCTCTGCGTGCAGAGCTGCATGCTTGGTAGCTGGAACTGAGCCCTTTGACTGTGGCGTTGAGATAAGCCTTGAACTCCTTGGACCTGGCAAACTTGGGTTCAGATTCTAGCTCTTTGCTGACCTTGACTTGAGCACCTTCCCTCACTGACTCATCACGGCTTCATAGGAGCAGCCTGACCTCTGTCCCCTGGGGCTTGAGATGAGCCACCAAGGAGGTGGTGTGTGTGAGGGCATCTGTGCTCTGTCCTTGCCTGCTCACAAGTGTCTGATTTTCCTTGCTTTCCATTCTCTTATGTACAGATTAGCAAGTCTGGGCCTCGGAACATGCACCGTCACTAAAGTCTTAAGCATTTGCCATGTACAGGGTGATGGAGTGGTGTGGATCATCCTGGAGGAGGGGATGACCGAGAGAGTGAATCCTCTGGGGATGGAGATGGCCTATGTGTGCAATTGTCATACTGGAGGGAGTTGAACACTTGTTTCTTCCCTGACCCTGTTTCTTGAGTGGTGAATGATTGAATTAATGGTAACACTAAGAGCCTGTGCTCAGGCCCTGCTGTCCTCACCAGGACTCACAGTGGTGATGGCCCTGTGCCACTTGGGATCCTGATGGCTTTTTCCTACCCACAGCTCCATTCTGAACCTACCTGGGGAGTCGACGCTGCGGCGGGACTTCCTGAGGCTGCAGCTGGCCAACAAGGAGCGATCAGAAGCCCTGCGGCGTCAACAGCTGGAGCAGCAGCAGCGGGAGAACGAGGAGCACAAGAGACAGCTATTGGCTGAGCGCCAGAAGCGCATCGAGGAGCAGAAGGAGCAGCGACGGCGACTGGAAGAGGTGAGGACCTCACAGGCCACCCCCATGCTGACCCCTTCAACTGGGCTCACTCCCTGGTGTCCACTGTGGCCACCAGCCCACCCTTGAGGTTGGGGGCCACTGCCTATGCGACCCACGATCACCTTGACTGCAGAGAAAGATGAGGCCTGAATGCTGCTGCAAACAAACGACTTGCCTAGCTTGTGAAAGTGGTGTGGTCCCTTCAGGAATGCGGGCAAGTCTTGCTCATATGTCACCTTGTCTGTGAGCCTTCTTTAACCTCCTTTCTTAAAATTGCAGCCCTCTCCCTCTAGCATGTTCTATTGTCCTTTCTTGCTTTGTTGCTTATACATCACTCTGACCACCTTCAAACAGGCCATATATGTCTCTATCCCCCTGCTAGAATGTAAGCTCCAGGGCACAGAATTTTCTCTCTTATTCCCTGGTATATTTTGAGTGCAGAGAGCAGTGTCTAGCACATAGTACACTCCTCCAGAGGTAGAATGGGTGAATTAATATACAAATGAATGAGTCAAGGACCACAGTAAATAGGCAGATAAGCAAAATGCCAAGTATGGAAAAGAAGCGCCTGCCTATTTCTTCTCTCATGAACACTGAGAACAACATTTCATAAGACTTTTCCCCACACACCCTTCATGCCCAGGGCTTGTCCTCCACTGGTGGGCAAGACCTGCCTTGAGTCATCTGTGTGAGAAACACACTGTCAGCCGCAGTTTCCTGCCTGGTGTGTCCCTGACAGCCTGTCACCCTTGTGGCCTTACACATCTTGGTTCAAGCCTCCTTCCTGGAATCTTACCCACATCTTCCAGGCCTCGATCCTCTGCCCGGTAAATCAAAGCCTCTAGACAAGAAGGAAACAGAGAGTGCCTAGTTGTTGGGGAAATTGCACAACAGATAAAAGGTTCACTAACCGTACAGTAATGAGGTGGTAATTTTATGGCTCGCCCAAATACCACCTTGCTCCTTCTTAATGGGTTTACAGCGTTTCCATTTGCCTTGCTCTGTGAGGTGGCCACTGCAGAATGAGAGGGAGGTGAACTGTGGGCACCAGGAGCAAATTGCTTTTTAAATGGCTCATCAAGGTCCTGCATCCCCAGTTTTTAAAACACTGAAGGTCTCAGTTCCACTTTGCCGTAAATCCCATCAACTCCATTATGTCCCTGGAGTATTAGTTTCAGACCAGCAACAATAACACTGGACAATTGCAATTGTGCATTTATTGAGTGACTTCTATGTGCCAACCACCAGGCAGGCTGCTTTGCTTACATTCATATCTTACATTATCATTAGCATTTTGCTTATAATCCATTATCTCTCATGCAGAGTGATTATGGATCCCATTTCACAAAGCAAACAGAGGTACAGGAAGGGGGACTAATTGGATCCATGCTGCAGGTCCAGTAAGTGCAAAGGGAGGATTTGCACCCTGGTCTCCTTGATCCCAGTCCACGCAGATCTTCACTGACACAGTATGTGGAGTGTGTGATCAGAGCCTTGAACTGTAAACCTCAAAACTGGACCTTGAGGCTTTTGCAAGCAGCAGTAGGGAGGTAAAGCACTTTCTAATTCAGAGTAAGTTTAGAATATTGTCAGTGTAAAGAACAGACCGCTTGTCCCATGAGTAAAGTCCACCTGCTGCTGTCTTGCACTCTGAGGTTTACAATGTGGAAGACAGAGGCCCTGTGGTGCTGTGAGCAGAAGTCTTCTAAGGAACAGGCAAGACAGGGTGAAGTGCAGTGTGTGTTAGGCAGCTCTCAGCAGTGACGAGCAAAGTGGGAGGTGTCTGTGTGACCTCTGGTGACCCCCCAGGTGCAGTGAAAATTCTCAGGTCGGTTCTTGCAGCTGCCCACCCAGGCCACTTGAGATACCCAGCCAAAGGCCGCCCTGTTTCCTTTAGTCTCTCAGGCCTCCTGAAGACCAATACTTGGGTCTTTTGGACCCAAGGGCTACTCCTTCAGACTGGGACCAAACCCTTTCAGATGCTGTCCCCAAACCCTGTCTTTCCTGCTTCTGTTCTGTGGCCATTCATGCCTATTATGAACATTTTCCAAGGTCCCCTTATTGGGCCACCACAGCCTGCTAACCTTGACTGTTTGCCTCTTCTCCATCTGGTTACTGTTTCATTACTGTTTCAGACTGAAGGCCCTTAGCATGTAACCACAGACAATTCCCACTGTCATCCCATAAAGCAGTCAAATTTCTCAAGAATGGGCCTGTGGACACACACCTGTGCTTAAAGGAGTTTCCTTCCTTTTCTTTTTTTTTCAAAAAGATCTTCAATCAGTGTGAATATTTTTGCAGAGGATGTTTTGGTTTTTTCTGCATTTATGTTTTAGATTTTTTTCCCTTGCAGCTGGTTATGATTGATTTGAGCTTCATGGAGTTACGAGAATAATAATTTCTTGTGATTATGAGCACTGACCATATGACAGACACTCTGTTTAGCACACTATGTGAACTCTCATTTAATGTTCACAATAATCCCCAGTCTAAAGATCATACAGCCAAGTCCTAGAGTAATTAAGGACTTCCTAAAGGTTACCCAGCTTGAGAAGTAATCAGAGTTCAAGTTCACGAGATTGGACTGCAGAGCCTAAGAACCAAGTCACTGAGTATGGTTCTCACCTGGCCTGCACTTCTGTAGTCTTTGACCCTGATTTCTGAGCAACAGCAAAGAAACCTTGCTGAGCAGGTGCTCGGTTCTGAGCAGAATTGTGTCTCTCATGCTCCCAGTCAGAGAGAAGCCTCCTTCTTCCTGTCTCTTGTGGCATTTTCTGGTATTTCTTCCATGGTTGCCAGTCAGAGTTCATCTCAGTGAGGCACAGCATCCACAGAGACATCCTGAAGTCCTGGCTGGAAGGAACCCACATGCATTAGAATAAGAGCCCTGTGCTCTGTGACAACAGGCATGGACCTGCCTTCTTTGCAGAAACAGAAACACATGTGGACACTAGGCATCCATCAGTCACACCAGCTTTGTCTTGTGGTCCTTTATCTTGCCGTGGAGCTCCATAGAGAAGAAATACAAAATAGTTAATGGCTGTAAACTCTAAACCCCTAGCAATGACAATCTCTGCCACCAGGGATTTCTCTCCTGCATTCTGCTCCTGCTGGGTCACCATCCTTGTCTACCATCCTAGCCTGTGGTGACTGCTTATGTTCCTGATGCCCTGAACAGGAACTTGGACTGTGTGGCTCCCAGGAGTTGAAGTCTGTAGGTCACCTTAAGAATTTAGATTCCTTGGGGTCACATGGCTGATGTAGGCATTCTGAGAAATACATTCCCAGTTCCACAAAAAGACCTTTAGTCATCCCTCTGATAACACAGACCTGTGTGGGCTGAAGCCTTCTTCTGTTTGATGACCTGAGATGTCACCTCCGGCCAGAGGGTTTCTGAGGAAGTCCTTTGCTACTTACAGGTAACCATACGGATTTGACTAGGTTCTAATTTGCGTCTATATTTTTTGAAGGACCATGGCTTCTGGCTGATTAAATGGTAGGGACCGGATCCAGATTTTGACCAATGATAAAGTATAATTTATAACTAGGCTCCAGGAACTTGATTAATAAACTCAGTTGAGTTCCTCCATAGTGAGAAAAGAGAACCAATCCTGATTTCTTCAGTTCAATAAGAATTTCTACTACTTAAACCTAAACCAGCATAGCTTGTTTCACTCTGTGTCACAGAGTTACAGTGAAAGAATTGGCCTAGATGTGTTGTGGATCCTACTCTGGTATTCTCAGGCTGATTTTGAGCAGATTCATGGTAATATTTGATTTTGTCCAAGTAGATAGATAGAATTATATTTATATTTATATTCATATTTTGTGGTTCTGGGGTTTGATCTCAAGGCCTCCTCCTCACTTGCCAGGCAGGCATTCTACTACTTAAACCATGCTCCCAGACCTTTTTTGGTTTAGTTATTTTTTGGAGAAGATTTCACATTTTTCCTCGGGGGCAGCCTCAGACTGCAGTCCTCCTTCCTATGCCCTCTGCCTAGTTGAGGTCACAGTCACATGCCCAGCTTATTTGTTGAGATGAGGTCTCACTAACCTTTCTTCTTTTCTTTTCTTTTTTCTTTTTTTTTTTTTTGCCCAGGCTGGCCTAGAACTGCATCCTCCTGATCTTTTCCTCTTGAATAGCTGGGATTGCACTACTCCCAGCCTGCTCAAGAAATTTTGAAATGATATTAATGGTTTATATATTTATTTCAACTTGCTGGTGGCATTCTACTTCAATGGTGGGAGTATCTTTGAATCATAGAAATGGGTCAAATTGACCCAAGAAGCACCAGCCTACTCCAAGATAGTCATTTTTAGTTTTCAAAGAATTGTGTTAAGTGCGTCAAGCCATTAAGGTTTTTTTTTAATGCCCTTCAAGACCATGACAACATTGTCAGTTATAAAAACACCAGGATCCACCTAAAACATAATATATACTGGTTAGTTCTACTACCTGAACACCAGCTGTATCTGAGTAGCCAGTAGTGGTGCAGCACCATGTACAGAATAGAGGCTGGCAGTCTAAAAATGTGAATGTCCTCCATGCTTCTAACTTTTCATTGTGAATGACTGAGACTTTCAAGGACGAGGGGTTCATTCGTTTTGTGAAAATATAAAGTGGAATTGAAATCCTCTTCCTCTGCCTGGCAGCAGTCATTCAACAAAGATTTAGTGAGTACTCTGTTATGTATACCCTGTGCTGGACACTTCCCTCAGGAAGATCAAACCTGTGAGGAAGACAGGAGGCACTAGACAGACAACCCCTCCCTCTTTCCTCAGCGGTCCTTGACTGTCGTTGTTGGTGACTGCACTGGTAGAAAGCACTGCTTGCTAAGGCAGATCTTTCCAGCAGCATGAGCTGGGTCTAACTTGGAGGTCAGGTGGCCAGAGTTCAGCTACAGGATAGAAGCAGGGCTCATGGAGATACAGGGAAACCCAGGCACAGAGTCTCTTCAGGGCCTGCAGCCTGCATTAATTATTTTAGGATTTTATTTGAA